TGATTTTATTTTTAAGTCTTATTAGTCAATGCATTCTATCTTGATGATTTCATCCATATTCTTGTTTCTCCTGTTCTAGAGGTCAAGCTTTCAAATCCTTGTGTGGCTCACAGGGCTCTGCTAATCTTACTCTCCTTACCTTGCTGCACCTACTCTGATTCCATGCCTTGCTTCCCACATTTCTGCCTCACATGTCTATCTGCGGTTACTCCCATGCACATCCTTCTTCCTGTTGGGTTTACGGTATTCCAACATGGCCATCTGCCCTCAAGAGCATGTTTCTTTTCCAACTCCTCTCCTTTGGTAATAAAGGAGAGCTGCTAGATTTCCTTAAACTCTCCATCTACATGCTGCTCCCTCAAGGCAACCTGAGGTCTATAGCCCACGCTGAGTTAAGATTCGGAGACCAGACCTGATCAGCCTCCCTCATTACCTGACTTCACAGCACAGTGTTCTACCATTCAAAGTGACAGCACGTTTGTAAGTGGGTTCTTTAAATGCCTCACTGAGGGGCTGGAGAGACGGGTCTGTGCTTAAGAGCGCTGAATGCTCTTCCCATGGACCTGGGTTCAATTCCCAGCACTCACAGATAGTGGTGGCTCACGACCATCTGTTCCTCCCGTCCCAGGAGATCTAAAGCCCTCTTCTGGCCTCTTTTGGAACTCTACCAGTAGGGAAAACACCTACATACATAAATTTAAAAAAAATGTTTTTTAAAACATGCTGCATTGAATGAACAGTAAGAAGTATCCCCTCTGCTGCCAACCTGCCAGCCAGCTCCTTCTGTGTTTACCAACCATTCCTTTCCTGACTCCAAACCTTCCTTCCTGCTGCTGTCCCTCGATGGAACGCCATGATGCTGTGGTCTATAATAAAACCTTCTCTTAAATCTTTGTCTCCTTAAACTTTCATGACTTCCCTAGTGATGGGGATGGTCTTGGATCCTGGCCGCTGAGGCGGAACTCTTCATGGAATTTCCTGAAGGACAAGAATGTCTCTTGCTGTAAAAGGTCGGCCCCTCAATAAAAACCAATCCCCAGAAAAACCAAGCCTAACAAGAAGTTTGAAACTTCCACTCCCATCCTCGGGGAAGCGGCACTAACACCCAAGCAGGCCCATGGGATGGTGCCGCCATAAGAAGTCTCCAGAAGACAAGGGAAGAGAGATTCTGCGCTGCCGGTTCTAAGATGCCAGGGTGGCCCGCCCAGGGAGGGCACTGCAGCTCCATGTCTGTTGCTTCATACCTTACCCAAAGCATCTCTTCATCACAGCTCTTCCTTAATAGCCCTTCTGATAAACTAGTATACGTGAGTAAGGCGTTTGCCTGAGTCCTGAACGCCAGCTTAGCAATTGACAAAACCCAGGAAAGGGGATTATGGGCACCTCCAGTCTGTAGCTGAGTGAGCCAGCTGCCATGGCTAACCTGTGAGACTTACTAGGGTATGGTCTTGCGGCACAGAGCCCTTAACTTGTGGGCTCTGCACTGACTCCAGCTAGTGTCAAGAGTAAGAAGGGGCTGGAGAGAGGGCTCAATGATAAACAGGCTTTATTGCCCTTGCAGAGGATGTGAATTGGGTTCCCAGCACTCACACGGTGGCTGCTCACGACCATCTGTACCTTCAGTTCCAGTAGATCTGAGGCCTTTGTCTGACCTCCAAAGGCACACATGTGGTGCATATACACACATACAGGCAAAACAATCATACACATAAAATTTAAAAATCTAAAAATAATTTTTAAGAATAAGTTATGGGACAGCTGGCTGGTGTTGGAAAATTGTTTATTTTTGTGACCAGAAGCATTGTGAAAATATAGAGAAATAAGAAGAAAACAAAACAAAACAAAAAATAGCTCTGCTATAAAAATGACTTGTTTCCCTTGGCCTATGTGAAGTAAAATCCAACTGATAAATCATCTCCCTAATAACTGTTTACCAAACCACAATGATATCTCCCTTTGTACCTCTTTATTAAATCCTGGAGATTAAATCTTGTTCATATCTACATTTATTAAGACACTGATTTACACTCTAACTTCACTACATTTGTGTGTGTGTGTGTGTGTGTGTGTGTGTGTGTGTATGTGTGTGTGTGTGTGTGAGAGAGAGAGAGAGAGAGAGAGAGAGAGAGAGAGAGAGATCACTCTATAAGCTCATTATAAAGACTTTGAAGATGATACTTCACATTCCCTGTTTACACCCCTCAGTGCCTGTGCATGGACAGTGTCCCACAAGCCCCCCTCATGACAAGAAATCCTCCATACAGAGCTGCACCATCCACTCCCATCTACCCTACAGAGGGCTAGTCACATCTGTGCACACCACATCTCATGCTGAAATCATGACAGGAATCCAAGACAAGTCCTCCTTCTTAGAGCAAGCAGCTCATTTATCAGGGACAGCATAAACAAGTGTGGACCAGCAGCAGATTTCTTATCTTCAGAAAATTATTTCGGCAACATAAGAACAGAGACAAAAATCCACTTGGGCATTCTTTACTGGTCACTTATCTGTAGATTTCACATACTCAGACTTGGCATTCCATGAGAATGTGTTGGCAAAATAAAACTCAACCATGTGGCTCTTGGCCTCCTAGAAAGCTGAAGGTCCCAATAGAGAATTTTATACTTGAAGAGAACAGATGCCTCCATCCTCTACTGCCCTGATAGTCAGCAATATGTTCTTTGTATGAAATTTATGTGTGTGTAGGTGTGTGTGTGTGTGTGTGTGTGTGTGTGTGTGTGAGAGAGAGAGAGAGAGAGAGAGAGAGAGAGAGAGAGAGAGAGAGAGAGAGAGAGAGAGAGAGAGACAGAAAACAATATTGTGGGAAGAGAGTCAAGGGTTGTCAATGGTACCCTAGGCATAGGTTTTACTACTGGGTCTCAGTGTCAACAAGTGCTTAGAGCAGACATTACATGCCAAGGTGAGAGAAATACAAGGATATATCAAAGCATCTTCAAGAAGCTGGGGGTCTAGTGTAAGCAACAGGTGTAGATACCCAACAGAGATGGAGTGATAATATTAGAGTAAGGCTAAAAATGGTACTTAGAAGCCATAGAGAGAAACCCACTGATTCTGCCTGGAGAGTTCCAAACAGCCTGCCAAAGGAAGAAGCCACCGCAAACTGGAGAAGCAGGAGGAAATGACATCAGCACAGTGGTCAAGGTTATTGTTTGCAAAATAAGCATTCTAGTTCCCAAGCTCTGCCAGCCAAAGGTCATTATTCACAGACGATCGGGTTTGTAAGGGACTCAATAGTCTTGCCCAGTTTTTGCTCACAAACCAGACAAGAGAAGCTAGAAAGTAAAATGCAAATTCCTTCACCCTGCTGCTGGCTGGCAGACCCTGGGAGAGCGGGGACGGGTGCACAGTGACACAGAGGGGCGTTGACCATGTCATCATCATAATTGGCTTTTGGCCTAGTTCCACTGACAATAATAGGGACAGCCGGTGGTGGAGGGCCAAGCAAGCAGCAGACTATGCTGAGTGCTTTACTGTGCTTTCTCACACAACTTTGGGTACGGCTAAATGTCTTGACGGAGAATAGCCTTGGATTTAGATGATGCACATTCGAGAATTTAGGAGCTGAGTTTCATGACATCTGTATCTCAGTTTCAAATGCTTAGTGCCAAAAGAGGCATGTATGCATGAAGAAATAATGTAAATACAGCAAAAGGAGAAGTTTCTATTTTCTAGCTTGATGGGGGTATAGAACTGGCTTGTATATGTCCCTCAAACCCCCAGATTTCACATTTAGGAGCAGTGTGTTTTGTTTTAAGTCCGTCTTAGTTAAGGTTGCTATTGCTATGATGAAACAGTATGATCAAAAGCAAGTTGGGGAGGAAAGGGTTTACTTGGCTTACACTTCCACATCACTGTTCACCAAAGAAGTCAGGGCAGGAACTCAAATAGAGTGGGAATCTGAAGGCAGGAGCTGATGCAGAGGTCTTGGAAGGTTGCTGCTTACTGGCTTGCTCCCCATGACTTGTTCAGCTGGCCTTCTTATAGAACTCAGGACCACAAGCTCAGGGATGGCCCACCCACAATGGACTGGGCCCTTCCACATCAATCCTAATTAAGAAAATGCCTTTCAGCCTGATCTTATGGAGTCATTTTCTCAGTTGAGGTTCCCTCCTTTCAGATAACTCTAGCTTGTGTCAAGTTGATCTAAGACTAGCCAACACAATGTTAGTTACCTTTCACTAAAATATAAACCAGTGTCAAAATTATACAGTCTATTAAATACATTCAAAATCTGAAGTCTTGGTTTAAAGTTTAAGTCCATATACATCCGTAAATATGAATGCTCTGGATTATTTTGTGTCTAAAGCCACTTTCTAGAAAGTTCCTAATTCTACTGTCACAGAACTGCTCTATGACAGACCCCTGCTCCAAATACAACAGACACTGCCATCACTGTCTACGCTGGAACTCTATCAACAACACAAGCTCAATGTACCCAACATCTGCACACAGTAGGGCTAGTGAAGAACACATCCCGGCCTGCTGTTAGGATGCTTTGAGTTTACAGAAACACTGTGTTCACTTGTAGCACAGTCAGCCCTGCATCCTCACAACTACTGGGGCACAAGTTCCCACGTGGTGGAATTACTGGGAGCTGGGTCCTACCCATGGGTTCTATTTCTCCATCTAATTTGCAATGACTATGGTGCCCGCCACTCCCTTTGCACACGGGGGCTCACTCTCCATGCGTGTCCCCTGCCTATCCTAGGGGTTTCTCCTAAGCCACACAGATTCAAACTATGACTCAATCAAAAAGACTGGAGGCCAGATTTGGGAGGCAGAGGCAGGCAGATTTCCATGAGTACAAGGACATCCTGATCTATATGGTAAGTGCTAGGTCAGCAGAGCTACATGATAGACCCTATCACAAAAACAAGTAAATAAATAAAAGAAAAAGAAAACATACTCCACTGGAAGTTTTACAGACTAATTGAATAATAGTTAAGACATTCCTAGAATAAAAGGAAGGGCTACTCACTCGCAAAGAAGGATCCCATTTTCTAGCCCTGTCCGGAAGTCTTTATCACCAAAACTTCGGCCAGTGACTTGCTGGAAAAGAAGAAAAGGAAACAAGAGTGTAAGTTTTTCTTTTATAACCCGGAAGTTCAATATTTAAAAAAAAAATTCAAGAGCCCTGAAAAACCCATGACATTCCAAGAATGGGAAAATCTGTTAGCCTCGAGTTCCCTTCCCACATGTGGCTTTGCGTGGATCAGGTGAGATAAACTTAAGCCATGAAGTGTCTGTTCTTACTGATAATAGTGCTCCTTTGGGGGTTCAACCACAGTTAAGGCAAGGTCACAGTGCCTCTCTCAACATAGAAAATAACTAACAGCAAATAGGAAGTACTGCCCAAGGACAAAGACCCTGTATGCTAAAGCATTGGAGGTCAGGGAAGGAGAGTCTGTAGACCCTCCCCTCAGGAGACTAACACCGTGACTGGAGATTAATCCCACCATGCATAAATGACAGTACAGGGACATTCATGGTGTCGCTGGCTGCCAGCAACCATTGGCTGGGGCACAAGGTACTCACTGTTTCACTTGTTCATTCTCTACATACAAAGCCCTGACCTGAAATATACCAGGTAGATGTGTCTGTAACGCGCCCTAAGGAAACCTCTAATACGCAACAACAGAAGTATGTCTAAGGAGCCACAGGAAGAAGGAAAATGGAGCCATAAAAAAATATTCCAACAATGAAAAGAGATAGAGGAGGAGGGAGGGGAGGGAAGAGGGTAGAGAACAGATAGAACACACAGGAAGGATGAAGACTCAGCACTATGTCCATAGATAATCACGTTTAAGTGAGAGTGGTCCCAGAGCCCCCAGTTACAACACAGAGGTTGCCAGGCTGATTCAGAAGTTGAGTCAACACTGAGCTACCTCCAAATGCGCTGTTTAAATTAGAAGTTGTGTACTAACAGGAGTCACAGGAAAGCTGGACCAGTCATACTAGTATCGGAGAAAGGAAAGAACAGAAAATAATAGCACGGATGGAGAAAACGCTTTCATAATAAGGGGTCGGTTAATTCACCGACAAAGACATCATAATCTTGAACATTAATGTATTTCATTATATTAAAAAAAAACTTTAAAATACACAAACCAAAGCAGATAGGATTACAAAGAGAGGAAAGACAGATTATAAGTGGAGTCGGAGATTTAAATATTTTTCTTTAATAATAGATAAGACACACAAACAGAAAAAATTAATAATGATATAGAACACATGAATAACACTATGGACCCAACTGGTCGAATTGTTATTTCTAGAATATTCCACCCTTCAACGTTTACCAAGCCAGACCAAATTCTAGGTCATAAAACAATTCTCAATACACTTAAAAGCCTTTATCCCAAGTGTATGCTCTGACCACAAAATAATTAAATTCTAACTTAACAGCAAAGTATCTGTGGAATCTCCCCAAATGTTTTTAAACTAAGGGTATCATAACAAAACATGGACGGAAATACGGAAGCAGGACTGGAGGACACAGACAGTCAAAAGGGAAAGAGGATACAAATTTCCAGACTCAGACGTGGCAAATGACATCACTGCAGGGAATAAAAATACTAAAAGCACGACGAGGGACTATTATAAATAAGTTTGGACCGATAAATTAAGCAGCTTAGATTGTGCTGATACAATCCCTGACGCAAGCACAATTCATCCAACAGAGAAACAAACAACCCCCCCTAAAGAAAACAGCAGGGCTCAAAGGCTCGCTGCTGAACTGCACCTAATAGTTACAGAAGAAACAATCTAATTCAGAACAAACTCATCCCGACAATTTTAAAAAACGTACCTTCATCATGTGTTTACGATGGCTCACATTTTGTATTCTGACTATAAAGATTTCTAATTAACATTCTCTTCATGACGACGTCAGTCATCATTATTAAGATTAACTGCCATTAACAAACGTCCATTTGTAGGGAACTAAGTGTCATGGCTCAGGCCCTTCCAACCTCTACCTGGATGCCAGCTGATTAAGGGTTCTTAGCGATCTTGCCAACAAGGCACTAGCCCTGCCATCATTCCATGACCACTTTCCAAAGACACGAGGAAGCTCAGCCAAGCTCTTAAGAGATCCCGAGTGCAGTGGCGCACACCTTTAATCCTAGAACTTGGGAGGGAGGCAGAGGCAAGTGGATCTCTATGAGTTCAAGGCCAGGCTGGTTCTATACAGTGAGTTCCAGGTTAGCCAGGGCTATGTAGTGAGACCTTGTGTGTGTGCCCTTTGTGTGTGTGTGTGTGTGTGTGTGTGTGTGTGTGTGTGTGTGTGTGAGAGAGAGAGAGAGAGAGAGAGAGAGAGAGAGAGAGAGAGACCGTGTATGTGACCTTGTATGTGTGACCTTATGTGTGTGTGTGAGACCGTGTGTGTGACCTTGTGTGTGTGTGTGTATGTGTGTAAGAGAGAGACTGTGTGTGACCTTGTGTGTGTGAGATCATGTGTGACCTTGTGTGTGTGTGAGAGAGAGAGAGAGACTTTGTGTGTGTATGAGACTGTGTGTGTGTGTGTGTGACCCTGTGTGACCTTGTGTGTGTGTGACTGTGTGTATGTGTGTGAGAGAGAGAGACTCTGTGTGTGTGTGTGTGTGTGTGTGTGTGTGTGTGTGTGTGTGTGTGTGTTTATCTGCCTGAGGTGAGGCCTTAGGTTACAGGGTATCTGTGAAGAAAGCCCAGGCTCAGGAAGATTCAGGACCCAGCAGGGAAGAGCAACAAAATGGTCAAGAGCACTCTTCCCAGTTCCACCCCTACAACTCCTCACCCAGAGAAACTCCATCCTCACCGCTGTCCAGCCCTACCGACAAAGCCGCACCAAACCCTTTCTTCCATATCGAGCGCGCCCCTTAACAACTCTTTATTCTCCCTTTAGAACGTAGACCCATCCTCACTTCCTCCACTGTGCTACCAGTCTCCAAGCCACTGCCCTCCTCCATCCGTCAGACACGTCCAGCCTTTTGACACTGTAACATGCTGCTGCCAACTATGAAGTTCACACTTCAGAACCTCACCGGTAAGTATTTTAAATCCCCGGTAACAGGTTTCTCCGCCGATGCAGTAAGCCAAATCAGGCCGAAGTAATAAGATCAGGTTTAATCTGAGCAAAGCACTCTCAAGTGATCTTGGGGGAAGGAAGGAAGGAAGAGAAATCACATGGCAGGTCTATGGACCGGAGCTTAAATACCCTGGAGGCGTGGTCCTGAGCAGCTCCGGGAAGGAGCCACCACCTGGTGGGCTTTCTGAGGGGCAGGGTTGGGGGGGAGGGCCTGAAGTGGAGCTTCCAACAGAACACTCACAGTCAAGTTTAAAAGAAAGAGAAGTCACAATACAAGACTTTAAGTTGTGGTTTTGTGTTGGGTCACTATTATAACTATCCTAAGCCACACATGGCCCACAGGTCATGGATTGAACATGTCTGATAGAGACTCTGAAAGCTGGCCCAATGGCTTCCACCTGGCCTCCCATCTATTCTCAAGCAGGCACCCCATAATCTCTAAGGTTTATAGATCAAACCACCACCCTTCTCATTGCTTCCACCAGTGACTCTGAACCTCAGGCATCATGGTAGAAGCCAAGTCCCTACAGTTCCCTAATGGTGTTCAACACACACACACACACACACACACACACACACACACACACACACATGAACGCATGCATCGGGTGGGTGCAGATGACAACATGTTAGAATGCCAGAATACATGGACAAAAACTACTGACCGCCACTGTCTTATCAAGGGTGAGCCCCAACACATCTCTCTATTCAAGGGAATCCTCAGAAATTCTTAGGATGGCCATAAGTCATCAGCTATCCCCTGGCTAACCTTCAGGGAACCCCTGCATCAAATCCTCCCTGCTTTATGCTCAGGGTCAATCCACTTTAATTACTAACCACAATATTTGTTGGAGGACCAGGCAGAGGACAAGTCACTGAATACTTAATTTACCAAAACCTGATTTTTCCAGGAAAAGCAAAGTTTTGATCTGCCTCCATAATTAAACAAAAGCAGAAGCCAAGGACATTGTAATGTGTCACCACACTGTTCGGTGCAAGCAATTATTGAGGAAGCTCATCTGTATCCGATTTCCTGTCCATGGAGCTCAAAGGTAATTCTGAATTTGTCTACGCCCCTGGCTCTGCTCTGAATCATTCGAATTCTGAAATATGGAGAAGCCAGACTTCCAAGAGCAAACCACACAGCTCCACGGCAACATTTTTACGATGTGTTTATAATGTAACACGCTGTATATCACAGCCCTACAGTCTGTTAATTGCTTTGTTACCATCGTTATTATGGAGTTGCAATGAACAGCCAAAGGCTGCCAAGAGTTGGTCTTCTAGCCTGATCATTACCATGTATACAAATAGTATTCCAAAAACATTTTCATGAATCTTTTGTAGATTTTTTTAAAGGAAACTACAAACAAACTATGTATGGGTCTAAAGAGCATTTTCAATAAATGTTCACAATTCTTAGTACAATGATATAAGCAGAGGATTTTTTATATGTTATTTTGATTTGAGGGTTTTTTAAAATTACTTTATGTGTATGAATGTTTTGCCTGCACATATGAACATGAACCATGTTAATGCCTGGTGCCTACAGAAGTCAGAAGAGGGTGTCAGATCCCCTAGAGCAGGAGTTACAGATGTTACGTCATCATGTGAGCCACCATGTGGGTGCTGGGAATTCATCCCAGGTCCTCTGCAAGAGCAAGAGGCACTCTTAACCATGAGCCGTCTCTCTGCCCCTGACTTTCTTGTTTGGAGACATGATTTTGCCACATAGCTCTGGCTAGCCAGAAACTCACTATGTAGCCTAGGCTGGCCTCAAGCTTTAAAAGATGGTCCTGCTTCTGCCTTCCAAATTCTGAGATTACAGGAGTGAGTGATCACTCCTGGCCTTCTGAAGAAGAGATTCTGTTTGCTGACAAAATAATGCTCCCTGATTCAAGCGAAACACACATAAGGTTGAGTAGATTTTCACTTAACATTTAAGAGATGTAAAGATTTTCCTCAAGTTCTGTAATAGCAAGTC